CTCTAGTTTATCGTTGCCATTGTTTCCTGTTGTGTCTGGAGCAGGTCTCTTGTAAACGAGTCCTTGTGGCTCCATGAAGCCAACCTGTATAAATAAAAGGTTGAATAAATCATTATGTGTATATTTATAATCATTCGACCTTTATTGATACAGGTTAGTCCCATTGAGCTACAAGGACTCATTTACAAGAGAGACCTGGATTTTAACAAAGAGTGATGACAACAGTGGACAACAAACTGTTTTTAATTGTAAAACAAACAAACAATTAAAAAAAATTAAATTTGTCTGAATCATTAGTGAATGTGTTGTTGTTGTTGTTGTTGTTGTTGTTGTTGTTGTTGTTGTTGTTGTTGTTGTTGTCAGTGTGTTATCATGTTGTGCTGTGGTCCGGTGTCTCCACAGACGATGTGTGTGAGGGTGGACATGTTTGGAGGTTGCTGTGTTGAAGCTCCATGGATGAGCCTCTCTGCAGCTCTCAGCACCTTCACTGAGCTGCTCTTGTTCTTCACAGGTAGAAGGTGGGAGCTCTCGTCAAATCATCATCTCCAGCATCATCTTGTTCCTGCCAGGCTTTTCATCCACTGACCACACACACCTGCAAACATCAGGGGGACCAGCAGCTGTTTAACACATCTGGAAGGAAACCAGTGAGATTTTAATACGACCAGTATGATATGATGTTATGTGGGGGAGTGGTGGAGCAGAGGGTAGAAGATGGGCCTGTGATGGGAAAGTCACAGGTTCAACTCCCGGTACCGTCAACATCAAAATGAGGTGGAAAAGGTGAAACACCCACACCTGCCTCCACCCTCATTGGCCCCACTCTGGGCCCCATGAGCAAGGCACTCAACCCCCACCATCTGCTCCTAAACAGGTCTCTCTTTAAAATGAGTTCTTGTGACTCAATGAGTCGACCTGGATAAATAAAGATCAATGAAAAATAAAAGTTTAAAATAGAAATACATCATGAGGCCGAGGTTGTGTGTGAGACGTGCACATTCCTGAGGTTGTGTGTGAGACGTGCACGTTCCTGAGGTTGTGTGTGTGACGTGCACGTTCCTGAGGTTGTGTGAGACGTGCTGAGGTTGTGTGTGTGATGTGCACGTTCCTGAGGTTGTGTGTGAGACGTGCACGTTCCTGAGGTTGTGTGTGAGACGTGCACGTTCCTGAGGTTGTGTGTGTGACGTGCACGTTCCTGAGCGTCCACAGACAGAGCAGCTGCAGCTTTTGTTCACTTCCTGGAGTCCTGCAGTTTTCAAGCTGAAATGAAAAAACATCATGAAGATGAACTTTACAGTCTCTAGTTACCTGTTCATAGAAACACATGGAGGTGTCTCACCTGGTGACTCACAATAAAATATGTAACTTTATGAACTCTAATGAACTTATAATGATGCTCCTACTCTCTGAAGGTGAACCCATGGTACCACACCATCTCTCAGTCGGACAGTCTGACCAGTTTGATCAAAATCCTCCAGTTTAAAATCCTCACTGCTCAGATGAATCCTCCTCAAAGATACTTCCTCCTCTTCCTCACATCTTGTTCTTTGGGAAACCTTCAAAATGAAAACAGGAGATTTGTGTCTACACAAAAACATTGTACAGAGGAGGTCAATCTTATTTTCTATTTCCTATATGCTCCCTAGTTTATTTTTTTATTTCCTAGAACTTAAACAAAACTCCAGTTCTGATTCATATCTGTTGATAATGAACCAAAGCTGCTGAAACAGTGAGTATGATTGTTAGCAAAATATTCCTGTCATCAGATCTCAGTTACACTGAACATCACATCAGCTGGTGGACATAAATACAGTACAGTAATATTATATTCACAAAGTACTAACAATAATATGTTCATGTTACTGTGAAAAGTTATCCCACGAGGCCTGACGTCATCAGTCGATTTGAACAGAAATAATCTGCGAAGTGCTGAAACATCTTCTGATTTAACCAAATAAGGACGACCGTTTCAAGATGGCGGCCGAAAATCCTGCGCCGCAGCAGCCAATGAGGGATCTAGTGTTTATATATCTATGGTGTTCGTGTCACAGCAGAGGATGAGGAGTTCCTCTGCCCTTCATCATCTCTGCGATCTTCGTCATGGCGTCATTTGTGCTTAAAAGTGCGCGCGACGCTGCGTCTTCATCTGCTCCTCTTCATCATTAGAGCAGGAGGTCCGGTCCGGGTCCGTCTGGAAGATGGCTGGGCTCGGTTCGGCCCGGAGCAGACCCGCTCCCCTCTCCTCCGTCTTCATCCTCCTGGTGCTCCTCTTCCTCCCGGGTTCTTCCTCCAGCCGGGATGTGGTTCCACAACTCAACGAGACGTGGACAGGTCCGGTCCAGTCCACGCACGATGATCCGGATCACCCGGACAACAACGGGGCCACGAACCACAGGAAGCTGTTCCCGGTTCTGGACCTGAACTACGAATACGTCCGGAAACCGTTCGAGATCTCCCTGTGGATCCTGCTGGCTCTGCTCATGAAGCTGGGTGAGTCCAAACGACCAGAACCACCGGGTTCTGCTCGTGAAGCTGGGTGAGTCCAAACGACCAGAACCACCGGGTTCTGCTCATGAAGCTGGGTGAGTCCAAACGACCAGAACCCAGAAGTTCTGGTTCTGGGTTAAAGGCTGGGTTCGGCCTTTTGGAACTGAAGCGATGTCCATCAGAACTTTTTCGGTCCATTTTCTTCTTCTTGGTTCTGAAATCTGGTTCATGTTCCGTCCTGGATTACAGTTTAATCCTAATCCTGGCCTCTTCAGTTTTCTCTGGACTTTGTTGTTGTCTCGTTTGATTGAAAAACAAACAAACAACAACAACCTGTCGGCTGTTTGCGGTCAGGCTGTTTATTTAGAATCAGAAGCTAAAGTCTTTGACCCAAACAAACTTTAGCTACTTTTCTTTAGCTGATTCAAATCAGCCTGAAAACGTTGAATTGATTCAGGAAACGGTTCAAATCACGTTGATCTGAAACTTCAAACCATTTAAAAAATAGCTTTTTCTGTGAAGATGAGCCGAACGACAGCTGCAATCTGCTGAAGGAGCTGAAACAGAGTCTTTAAAGCTGAAGGGAAGGAAACAGAAGCTTAACAACTAAAATCAAAACGCTAAATAAAAACTAAAACTAGTAAAAGCTAGCTAAAGGAAGCAAAAGGCTACATAAAATAACCAAAGTTTAGCTAAAAGAATCAAAAGTAGCTAAAAGAATCAAAAGTTTAGCTAAAA